TACTACTACTACTAACTACTACTACTACTACTACTACTACTACTACTACTACTACTACTACTACTACTACTACTACTACTACTACTACTACTACTACTACTACTACTACTACTACTACTACTACTACTACTACTACTACTACTACTACTACTACTACTACTACTACTACTACTACTACTACTACTACTACTACTACTACTACTACTACTACTACTACTACTACTACTACTACTACTACTACTACTACTACTACTACTACTACTACTACTACTACTACTACTACTACTACTACTACTACTACTACTACTACTACTACTACTACTACTACTACTACTACTACTACTACTACTACTACTACTACTACTACTACTACTACTACTACTACTACTACTACTACTACTACTACTACTACTACTACTACTACTACTACTACTACTACTACTACTACTACTACTACTACGACTACGACTACTAGCCGAAGAGGAGGAGGACGAGGAGGAGTCCATGCCCGCCTCCTTGAACAAAGCGCACTTGCGTAAAACTTGTGTAAAAACAAATGGGGAACATTTTTTTGTGAAACAAATTGTTCACACTCATGTTGGCTCACGAAGACCTTGCCTGACATAAAAGTTGGTTGGGACAAGTGCGTACTCGAATTATCGTGGCGAAGGGCCCAAACACATACAATTGCAGGTGCCGCGAACCAGGTTGGACAAATGAGAGGGCGCTCCCTGTGGGGCCACGAAACGTGCGAGGGGTGTGCCGAAATGGGCGCGGCGGGCGCATGCGAACACAGCCGCCGGGGCCTTCGGTGGAGTTCCCTGTGGGGCCACGAAACGTGTGAGGGGTGTGCCGAAATCGGTGCGGCGGGCGCATGCGAACGCAGCCACTGGGGCCTTCGGTGGAGCTCCCTGTGGGGCCACGAAACGTGCGAGAGGTGTGCCGAAATGGGTGCGGCGGGCGCGTGCGAACGCAGCCACTGAAGCCTTCGGATGAGCTCCCTATGGGGCCACGAAGCGTGTGGGGGGTGCGCCTGGATGGGTGCGGCGGGCGCATGCGAACGCAACCACGGGGGCCTTCGGTGGAGCTCCCTGTGAAGCCACAGCACGTGTAAGGTGTGTGCCGAAATGTGTGCGCCGGGCGCACGCGCACGCAGCCGCTGGGGCCTTCGGTGGAGCTCCCAATGGGGTCACGAAACGTGTGAGGGGTGTGCCGACATGGGTGCGGCGGGCGCATGCGAACGCAACCACTGGAACCTTCGGTGGGGCTCCCTGTGGGGCCACGAAACGCGTGAGAGGTACGCCGAAACTGGTGAGGCAGGCGCATGCGAACGCAGCCACTGGGGCCTTCGGTGGAGTTCCGTGAGGGGCCACGAAACGACTGAGGGGCGTGCCGAAATGGGCGCGGCGGGCGCATGCGCACGCAGTCACTGAAGCCTTCGGTTGAGCTTCCTATCGGGCCACGAATCGTGCGAAGGGTGCGCCGAGATGGGTGCGGCGGGCGCATGCGAACGCAGCCGCTGAAACCTTCGGTGGACCTCCCTGTGGGGCCACGAAACGTGTGAGGGGTGTGCCGAAATGGGTGCGGCGGGCGCATGCGAACGCAGCCACTGGGGCCCTCGGTGGAGCTCCCTGTGGGGCCACGAAACGTGCGAGGGGCGTGCCGAAATGAGCGCGTCGGGCGCATGCGAACGCAGCCACTGAAGCCTTCGGTTGAGCCCCCTATGGGGCCACGAACCGCGTGAGGGGTTTGCCGAAATGGGCGCGGCGGGCGCATGCGAACGCAGCCGCCGGGGCCTTCGGTGGAGCTCCCTGTGGGGCCACGAAACGTGTGAGGGGTGTGCCGAAATCGGTGCGGCGGGCGCATGCGAACGCAGCCACTGGGGCCTTCGGTGGAGCTCCCTGTGGGGCCACGAAACGCGCGGGTTGCGTGCCGAAATGGGCGCGGCGGGCGCATGCGAACGCAACCACTTGGGGTTTTCGGTGGAGCTCCCTGTGGGGCCACGAAACGTGCGAGGGGCGTGCCGAAATGGGTGCGGCGGGCGCATGCGAACGCAGCCACTGGGGCCTTCGGTGGAGCTCCCTGTGGGGCCACGAAACGCGCGGGGGGCGTGCCGAAATGGGCGCGGCGGGCGCGTGCGAACGCAGTCGCTGCAGCCTTCGGTTGAGCTCCCTATGGGGCCACGAATCGCGTGAGGGGTGCTCCGAGATGGGTGCGGAGGGCGCATGCGAACACAGCCGCTGAAGCCTTCGGTGGAGCTCCCAGTGGGGCCACGAAACGTGCGAGGGTGTGCCTCTGAGCGATGATGATGATGGTGATGATGACGATGATGATGGTAAGGGCGATAACGATGACGACGGTGATGGTGATAATGATGACGATGACGAGGATGATGACGATGAAGATGGGAGGAGGGAAGGGGCAGCGGAAGGAGGAGTGGGAACGCGGGGCGCTGTCTCTTCAAAACGAGGACCCAACACCACAGGATGGTTGGGAAAACTATGCTGTCGCCGGACAGTTCAGTGCAACAGCGCTGTTGCAAGTATCCGTGCGCGGGCGATAATCATCACTTGGGAACAATCACGTTCGGGGTTCTGGCGGGGAAAATAAAATATGTTCCCGGGGATGAGAGCGATGATTATGACGACGACGATGGCGATGGTGATCCTGGGCGCTCGGCACAGGACTGACTCGAGAAATCTCGAGGCCCGTGCCTATACAACTTACAAGCAGGCGCTCGGCGCAAAGATGACTCGAGAGATCTCGAGGCGCGTGGCCATGCAACTTGCCAGCAGGCCCTCGACACAAGGCTGACTCGAAAGATCTCGAGGCTCGTGGCTATGCAACTTGCAAGCAGGCGCTCGGCACAAAGCTGACTCGATAGACCTCGATCATTGGCCATCTTGCCGGCGCAAGAGAGGTCCTTGGCCGTTCTGGCAAAGAAACCCCTCTTGCGCGGGGCCCGAACCGCTCCACCTCGCAAGCGCGGCGCCCACAGAGATCGCCCTTGCATGGGGGACGCATGGCGCAAAGCTGGTCGGCGGCGCTTGCCTCCTCGAAGGTGGCGCACTTCGGCTCGGCCGCCGCGGGGCCCTTGCTGGGGCTGGATTTGCGCGTGGCCTTGGCCTCGGCCTTGGCCGTCGCCAAGTCGTTGTCGCTGGCCTCCTTGAGCTTGTTAATACACTCATTGCCGCGGGCGCGCATCGCGTTCGGCGACGCGGGCGCTTGGCGGCCCCCGCCTCGGATCTCGCGCAGGGCGCTCTCGATCCAGCGACTCGTCCACAGGCCGCAGCTCCAACCGTCTGCTCTGCACAGCTTGTTGCTCAGCGCAGGGCAGCTCTCGCCAGGGCCAGTGGCGCCGAGCTTGCGGGGGATCCTCGCGGCGGCCTTCGGAGGCCACGCGCGAGCCCTGCCCGCGATTTCTGAGAGGGCGGGGTTCACATCGTTCGGCAGCTCCCGAGCAGAGTGAACCCTACATCCCCCTCAGAAATCGCGGGGTGTAGGTGTGGGTTCGCATATGGCCCTTGTGGGCCTGCTTGGCGTTCTCGGACGGCTGCTTGAGGGCGTCGCGATGCCCCGCCGCGACGCCCTCGCCGATCCTGGAGACAGTGGCGGGAATTACTACAAGTGCCCCCTGCCCAGGGCGCCTCCAGGATTCGCTCCGACACGGAGCGAAACACTGGGGGCACCTCGGGGGATGGGCAATTACAGCAACCGCCGACCTTGAGGTACGTGTAGTGCGCGGGCGCCTCGGAATGCACGCAGACCAGCACGTGCTGGGCCTTGTCGACCCTCTCGGCCCAGCGCTTCTGCTCCTCGGGCTGCTGGGCGGCGGGTGCGCCCTCGCTCTGGCCCTCTCGAGCCCAGGCGACGGCCGCCGTGGGCTCGACCGCCAGACTGGTCTCAGGCGCGCCCGCGCGCTCCTCGATCCCGCCCAGCAGCGCGCGCACTGTGCCCAGCTCGAGGGCGTCGCCCATGACGATCTGGGAGCTCGGAGCGGCGAGCCTCGGAGCGGCGAGCCTGTCTGGTCTGGCGCCAGTCGAGCATGTGCGG